AGCGCGCGCCGAGGGGCCGCCCCGCCCAGCCCCGCGCGCCGCGCTCCCCGCCACCCGCGAGGCCCGAGGACGCCTGGCTCTGCGGCCGACGCGCCCCGGCGCTCGGCTTCTGCGAGGCAATGGCATCTCGGAACTTCGTCGGAGGCCACAGCAGGCATCTTGGCCTCGCAGCCAGGGATCTGAAAGACAAACGTACGATCCGAGAAAACTTTGTCAGCGGCAGCTGGAGAGTTCTCGGCGGGCATGTGGACACCCACATTCCCAGAGACTCCGTGTCCGTGGTCCTGGACACCTGTTGTGGAATGCCCCAACTTCAAGTTTTCACATCTCGACTCTTTAAGAAAGAGCGATGCGGAATTAATTCAAGAAAGGAAGAGGGGGTACAAGCGGCGAGACGGCTGGACCTCATTTAGACTTTAAATTTTAGGAGGACCCCCCCAGTGTGCTTGTACATTGGATTTGGTCACCGGTTCCACATCCATCATTTCGGCTGTGTGACCTGAGGCAACTTAGGTAACCTCTCTGAGTCTCAGATTTCTGATCTTCAGAAGGCAATGGAGCTACATCTCTGGGGTCTCTTCTAGCTCTAACATTCCCCGGCTTAACTTTTATGAAGCTGTTATCCCTGTTAGGTTTTCCAGCTACCTTACTAAAGAGACTCTGTAGGCGCAGACTCTAATCTTCAATCGGGTGAGCCACTGGGTTTATTTTGATGTCAGAATCACTGAAAAGCACTCATTAATCATACGAGGATTTAGAACTAACCACAAACAGGAGTCTCATCCTTCTGGACACCAGACCCATAGAACCCAGTCGACTTCACATACAGTGTCACAGAGAACAGATGTAAATATGAAGCCAATATATAGTCTAAACAGCTACATAAGCAGACAAACACCACAACAGCGGAATCGGCTTTATAAGACAGGATATGGCGTGGCCAGGGGACGAATGTTTTTTCTAATTAAGTTTGGAGAAAAAATCCTGACTGGAAGATTCAGACTAGGACAGGCTGGGGAAATTTTTCCTATGGGACTGTAAGAGGCACATCTAGAGAAGGCTTCCCCCCCCCTTTCCCCTTGCCACCCAACTAGAATATACGCGCTGTGCAGGCAGGAATTTTATCTAGTTCACTACTATATCTAGTCTGGTACCTAACAATGATTGGCAAGTGTTCAAAAAAATTTTGTTGAATGAATACATGAGTAAGTAGGCTGGGAGTGGCCCTTGGCAGACTGGATTGACAGGGTTTTGGTAAGTGGGATAAGCAAATGGTAAGTATGATAAAGCAAATTGGATCTTACACTCCACCTCACAGGATTGAGAGATGTGAAAGCACTTTGAAAATATCAATCAATATGGAAACGTGGAGTTTTTATTATATAAGCCTTAGTGCAAGGAGAGTCGTTGAGAAAACTCATTCTAAGAGATTTTGAATTCTTTCTTGTAATTCCCTAAAGTTAAAGACTCAGAAATAACATGCAAATCAAGAGAAACGAATTGGCCTCTTTATAGTGTTTCATGAAGAACAAAAAGACCATCTTACTTGGCTATGCGTTTTTCGATCAATTTGACTTCCAAATCCTGACTACTAACTTGTTGCGTATCAGAATTATAGGTAGAACATTCTAAAATTTCAGATTCCCAAGCCCCTTATGTCTCCAGTATGACAGAATTCATTAAAAAATATCCCTTCACCTTGCTGTTGTAGTCTTGATCTATGGGACTTCATTATGATATGAGTTCCAAGAGCTAATCTTTACTCCCACTCATACAGAGATGCAGGTAGATCTATTGTGAGTAGGCCTATCCCACTATTTAAAAATGCATGCTCAGTCAAGCATAAAAATCAGAAGGCACAGCTTAGGCTAGAGCAAGGCTCAGTAAACTTATTCTGTGGTGGGCCAGATAAATATTATAGGTTTTGGAGGCCATATGTTCTCTCACAACTACTCAAGTCTGCCACTGCAGTAGGAAAGCAACCATAGACAATATGTAAAGAAGTGGGTGTGGCTGTGTGCTAATAAAACTTTATTTATAAAAGCAGGTAGTGTGCTGAATTTGGCCCATAGGCTGAAATCAGCTGACCCCTAGCCGAGAATTTGGATCACATAAAGGGCATTGGAGCTCAGGGCATAGGCTCAGGCTGCAGATACAAATGAAGGAGACATTACGTAAGAATGGGTACACACCCAGGACCAATGAGAAATGACAGCCAAGAACAGAATCCAGGGAAACACTGCATTTTAAAGTGTGAACAGAGATAGAGGAGCCTATAAAGGAAATTGAGAAAGAATGAAAAATTTAAAAACAGGTGTGTTAGGGCAATCAAGAAAAGGGAAAGATGATCAACATTGTCACATGCTGTTGAAAGAAGTACTCATTTCCATCATCAGATATCCTTGGCCTGGAATCTGTTTAACATCCTTGCTTTCTTATATTCTGAAATACTTTATAGTCTTTGCTTTTAATACTTTACATCTCAAATTTTACCTTTCATATTGTGGAAGGTAGCATAGTGGACTTACTTAAGCACCAAGACTGGAATATAAATTGGATTAGATTAACATGTAAACATTTTTTCAGAAAAAATAAAATATTGCTGTAAGTTGTGTTTTAGTTTTAGTTTTAAACATTGAATATCATAGATTTGTTTTAAATTGAATAGAAATAAAAATCAAACCCAATTCTAGGTGTTTGGAAGTTTTGCAACATTGGTTTGAATCCTTTTCATGATCTAGTTGAAACTGTGATCAGCTTAGCAACCTCTATATATCAGTCAGCCACATCCAGCAGCCCCTTGTTGACAAATATAGATGGACTATCAAAAGCTCCAAGTTGAGGGAATCACAAGAGCAAACTTTGGGAGATGGTTGTATGAGTCAGGATTCAATCCAGAAGCAAAACCCACACAACTGAAACGGGGTAGGTAAATTTAACACAAAGAATTATTAACTACAGCAGGTGAGTGCAGTGGGGAGGGAATGGATAGTAAGAAGCAAAGAGAATGCTGAAGAATATGAGGAAAGCAAATATAAGGAGGAGCCACTAACTACCCTTAGAACCGAAATTGAGCGCCCAAAGTAGAGGCTCCTCCCTCTCCAGGTTGCAATCCTTACCTGATTGGAGGGTGCACATCTGTGCATTCTGAGGCTAGTGCCAGAGGAAGCTGCTGTCCCTGGCTCCTGCCTGCATCGCAGATTCCTGGCACTGAGTAAGTTGCCAGCACTGTAGGAGCTGGATGCAGAAGCCACGCGCACTGCAGGAGCCTACCAATAGGATCACCTGGAACAGGAAGAAAAGCCCTTTCTTCTGCAGTATCTCTTCAGCACCCTCTACTGACAAAGTATAATATCATGCCAGCTGGCAAAGGAAAACTTTTAAGGGTCCAACACCATTTTTGCAGAGCAGGCGTTAAAGGGTAAATTGGAGTTGAGAGGCAATACATTGATTATTGACACAATGACAGTGTGTACTTTAACTTAGCAAAACTCCCCAAGTGACCTCACAGCAATAGCTACTTTGGTTCTGGAATATGCTGTCATAAAATGGTGCCTTCTGATTTTTTGCTCTCTTGTCCTAAATGTATATTTATTTTCTAGGTTATGAAATGTAGGGCAAAGTTTGACTTCAAAATACCTTTTGAAATCATTTTCTTTAACCTCTCATATCCCATCCATCACCAGAATCCATACATTTTACCTCCTATGTATTTTTCAGATGTGTCCATTGTTCTCTATCACCACAGCCACCACCCAAGTCCAACCATGATAATTTATATCTTTTCTGGACTAATACAATAATCACCCAATAGTTTCCGCACATCCACCTTAGTCAAACTGCTCTTTAAAAATTTTATAGATTCACAGGAAGTTGCAAACACATGTATGGGGAAGTCCTGTGCATTCTTTCCCCAGCTTCCTTCAGTATTAGCATGGTGTGCAGCTATAGTACAATATCAAAACCAAGAAACTGACCTTGGTACAATCCGTAGAGCTTACTCAGGTTTTACCAGTTATACATGCACATGAGTGAATCTGCACCTCTATGTAATTATATCACACATGTAACCTTATGTAACCATGACCACAATCAAGATATCAAGATACTCAACTGTACAATCACCACAAGATTCCCTGGTAACAGGACTCCCTTGTGTTATCCCTTTATAGCCACACCCATCCACTTCCCTGATCCCTAACCCATCAGTGGCAGCCACTAATTTATTCTGTATCTTTATAAT